CCGGACTAATACTGCCCAGCCTCGGTTTCATTGGGACCCTCCCTCTTTCAATCTGCAAAATTTATTTAAAGCTCAACGAAAAAGGGGATGATAGTTCGTTTTATTTTAGATTATGTAACTGTTGTTTTTATTTAGTTGAAATTGTTTTAAATTGACTTTGATTTAATAATGTTTTAAGGGGGGGAGGAGGGAATTATTTTGTATGTTTTTATCATGTACACCGCCCGGATTGGCTCGCCATAGGGCGGTATATAAATAAAAATTATTATTATTATTATTATACAACTTGCTATGTTCTCTTCTATTATTTGAATGACAGGATTGGGATCAGGGTTAGCTCAGGAGGCGCATCCTGATGCAAAGACGGGAGAATTCTGATGCAAAGAAGTAAAAGGATGCAGAAGGATTCTTGTGCAGGAGAAAGAAGAAATGCAAGATGAAAATGTATTGTTCAATAAAATTAATGATGAGGATACAGGACGAGAGAATAAAAAATTGGTTTTGTATATGATTACAGCTGCGAGAATAACATATGCTAGATATTGGAAGAAACAAAAGACACCAACGAAAGAAGAATAGATAGTAAAATTAATTGGGATGATGGATATGGACAAACGTACTGGTTTGTTGAAAGATAGGAAAAGACAAGAGACAGAGAATGGAGAAAACTGGAAGGATATTTGGAAAGGAGAACATCAAACAGAAAAGACAAAAAGAAACAGGTAACAGGAAAAGGAAAATAGAGAAGGAATACTAGTTGTGTAATTATGATTAAGAAATAAGGCGTATTACGACACGGAATATTAATAAGCTAAGAAAGCATGGTTCCAGGACTGAAACAGAAAGGACAAAAATGGGAGTGAGAAGAGGGAGAGAAAAATAACTAACCAACTTCGGGAAAGAAGTATGTAAAGTAAGTAAAGAAGTATGAAAGAATGTGTATGGGGGGGAGGTTATTCTTTGTTGTCTATATATTAATGTTGACAGTTATGTTGTTATTTGTTGTTGTTGTTATATTATTTTGTTCAGTTGTGGTTTAGGTTGTTATATGTTTCGATGGGATGATAGATATTATGTAAGTTTTATTCCAATTAATGAAATGTGAAATAAATATTATTATTTTTTAAAAAGAAAATTAATTGGAGGAAGAGCGGAGGCTGTAGAAAGAAGTCTGGAGGCAAAGTTTGGGACAGGTAGGGATACAGCTTTGAGGAGGCAGAAGAAGAAAAAGAAAGTGAGATTTAGAACAAATGCTGTATGGGCATTCTGGGAACAGTTTAGGAATAGAGCACTCATATTCTGAGCCAATTTTGGATTATTACTGGAAAGCTGACTAAATATATGCACACTTATCCTACAAATGCTTACTTGAACTTCACTGTTTTTAGTGTTTTGTACTACAAGCACACTGGCAAGATTTCTGATCCTGTTCTAGCACACTAGAGAATTGTTGCACCCTAAGGTGACCCTGTCAGATGCTTTTCTCAGCAAGATTTGTTCAGAAGGTTTGCTTTTGCCTTGCTGTGAGGCTGAGAGAGCATGACATGTCCAAGTTCACCCAGTGGGTTTCCATGGGCAAGCGATGATTCAAGTCCAATGCTCAAACCACTACATAAGGAATCTATGGATATGGAGGACCAACTGTATGACTGAGCAGTTAACTAATATTAGATAATGCTATTTTACAATAGAGTAAAATACTAGCTAAAGTCCAGACCAGATTTTGTATTCTTAATTCCATTGACTTCAATGAGATAAATGTAAGAGGGTGCAATGATCAAAAATTGAAACGAATTTAACACTTAAATCTCATTTTAAAAGACTGAAATCTTGTATCTTTTCTCACAAATTGAAATTGCATCCAAAGCCAAGAGACTTGTAAAGGAAAAACTGGTTTTACTAATGGTGTGTGTATACACTGACATTTTGAAAATCAATTTACTTCTACAAAATTGTAGTTTGATCCTTTTTAGGTGTATGCCTCCTTCTCACTAAGCTTTTCTCTATGACATTCAGCAATCAAAAATTTTTGATATTAGAAAGGCAGGACATTCCTTCTATTTTGTTGTGCCTTCATGGCAAGCAAAACAATAAAGAAGTATCCCCATTTCTTTTTTAAAGACCTGTCAGAAATGCAGAAATATCACAATTGTCCCTGCAGAAATATGATCTCTTTCTTACTTTCCTCATTTCCAGTAGTCTTTTATTAAGACCGGAGTCCATTCCTCCCTTCCCGCCAACTTCCCAAACATTATTTAAGGACTAAAACAAGAGGGTGGGGAGAAATAGCATTTAAATTTGCCATTTGTACACCCAAATTTCTTCTAGTGTGGGATTGTCAGAAGCTGTATTCTGCCTGTCCCTGAATTAAAGGAATTATCTCCAGTAATTTAAAAAAGAAGTTTAGATTTCCACAAGCATGGATTACATGGCTACACTCAGACAAATAAGTTGAAGGGCTATGAGTTCAAAGAAGCTGGTTACAAACATGAACTATGTTTTAAACGGAACATGTATAAGAAATGGAAAAATGGGG